CAGCGCTAACAAACCCTGCAGCAAGCAGCCGCCGCCGCAGACCCAGCACGCCCCGTCCCCGGCTGCGCCCCCGGCCGCCGCCACCATCTCGGCTGCGGGCCCCGGCTCGTCCGCGGTGCCCGCCGCGGCAGCGGTGATCTCAGGCCCCGGAGCGGGCGGCGGGGCCGGTCCGGTGTCCCCGCAGCACCACGAGCTGACCTCGCTCTTCGAGTGCCCGGTCTGCTTCGACTATGTCCTGCCCCCCATTCTGCAGTGCCAGGCCGGGCACCTGGTGTGTAACCAATGCCGCCAGAAGTTGAGCTGCTGCCCGACGTGCAGGGGCGCCCTGACGCCCAGCATCAGGAACCTGGCTATGGAGAAGGTGGCCTCGGCGGTTCTGTTTCCCTGTAAGGTAAGCCAGCTCTGCCCTCCAGCGCGCTCGCAGGCCCTAAGGGGCAAATGGCATCTGGGGGGTGTGGGTGGGTGTGTGTGTGTGTGTGTGTGTGTGTGTGTCCACTCTCCCCACGCCCACCTGTCCACCTCGGGACTAGCGTGGGGTTGACGTTTGCCCGAGCCCGTCCACTCTCCCCACGCCCACCCCGTCCACTCTCTCCACGCCCACCTGTCCACCTCGGGACTAGCGTGGGGTTGACGTTTGCCCGAGCGCTGACCCCAGATTAGGTGGCACTTGATGGTGGTTAGAGCACATCCCAGCTCCTTGCAGACGTGTACTCCGTGAGCTTTTTGGGGCTGGGCTATGCAACTGAAACTTAGACTAGGACGATGACGTTGGGAGTGGAGGACCGAGAGGGGCGAGCTCACCGCGCCGGTTTCCAACGCTGGACTGGACGGGTTTGGTAGGGGATGCTTCCTGGAACCAGAGTCTACGGTCTGCGCACCCCTGACACGTGGGAACTCTTGGAAGTGTAGCTACAGAAGTGGGGGAGGGGGGCCACAGCCTGCTTCCCTCCCTCACTGAGAAAACGCTGCAAGCCACGCCTTTTCCTCTCAGCCCTCCATGGACTGGGAAGGACTCTGGAGTTGTGGCTGTTTTTTTTTACCTGAGATGACTAGACCAGGACTTAATAGGGTCACGCAGGACCTTTGTTACAGTTCTTTAAAGCCAGCACTTTATTTAAAGAGTTACTGGTGCTCTTGGGTTTAAAAAACAACAACGCAAACCACAAGTGAAAGTCTACGTCCTCCCCCTCCCCATGTTGCATTGTGTAACCTTACGTCTTGACAGCCTCACAGCTGTTGTTAATATGTCATTAATATCTGTCTCTGAAAGCTTTTCATATACCCATAGATACATTTTATCTCCAACAGTTAGATTTTAAAATGAATACTCCCACATATGTCATGTCTGAAACCTAACCTGGCTTCCTGTATTTGAAATGATTATAGGATTGTACTGAATGGTCTTAATGTAACATCTGGTTCCTTCACTGACCACTTAAAAATCCCCAGTTTTTAAGCAGTTGCACAGTTACTTGTCTGTATTAACTCCCTGTAACTTAGAGCTCTACTGAGGAGTTCATTTTCTGAATTTGGAGTTGGAAATAACGTCATTATTACTTCTGAGGGGTGTTTTTTAATGAACGTAATTGTTCTACCTCTTGGGCCCTTTAAGTGATCATGAACATCTCAGTGCTGCTTATTTTATAGGGCAAGAGCTCAGTTTTAAATTAAAAATAGTTCACCAGAGATTTCAGGCTTGAGAGTCAAGTCAGTAAAATGAGTGATTTGACTGGGTCTTCTGCCCTGCCATAAATCAAGTTAAAATAGCATATTCAAATAAGGGTTTGAATCAGGGCTTAGTTCATGGGGTTGTGGGTCATCTTAATACATTGCTTGCTTTTAGCCCCTCCTCCTGACACTTGCTCATTCACCCAGCTCAGGTGCTGCTTCTCACACAATTTGGATAAGGTATTTCTACAGCTTTCCTGGTTGATGAAGAAGACTGTAGCCTCTGGACCAGGAAAGAGCTGATGATGGTTGACAGGGTGGGTAACTGACATTTGAGAGATTTTGTTGGGTAGGGGATGACCCTCAGGTTTCTGGGGAGCTATCTTCTTTTCCCTTTACTTTCCCTGAACTTTGGATGGCTAGTAGAAAAACGGCTTTCATAGTTTACAGGTCGGCATTTGCTAGTCAGTATTGCACCATTTTGTTGTTTTTGTTTTTTTGAGACAGGGTCTCCCTTGTAGCCCCACCTGGCCTGGAACTTTCTATGTAGACCAGGCTGGCCTCAACCTCAGAGATCTGCCTGACTCTGCCTCCCAAGTGCTGGGATCAAAGACACTAGCACACCAGGCCTGAATCCATGGTTAAACTGTCTCATGAGTTATGCTGTATGTGTGGGGTTTCACTTTTTTTAGTTCCTGCATGCTTCCCTAATGTCTGAACAGGCAAGTGAGGTTTGTTTGTTTGTTTGTTTGTTTGTTTTTCCTTAAGGTGGTCTCACTATGTAGTACTAGGTAGACTGGGGCCTGGAACTCACTTGGTAGATCAGGCCTTGAACTCACACAGATCGACCTGCCTCTGCCTCTCAAGTACTGGGATTAAAAGTGTACACCACCACTCCCAGCTCTGAAGTCATTCTTGAAAAGTATTCTCTTGAGAATTGAGGTACTGAGCTTTTGTATGTGTGGAGGTGATTTTCCCAGCCTATATTATAAGAATGCAGTTGGGCAAAGCTATCACTTTACAAGCTGAAGTTCAAAAAGGCAATTCAGACCAGAAACCAAGCTTAGAATGGGTGTTAGGGTTACTTTTGTCTGTGCATATATATGAGGTTTATAAAATTGGAGTGTGCATCCCTCATCTTGGTTAACCAGTAATCCAGACTATTAGGGTAGCTCAGCCAGTTAGTGTGGATAAACCAATTTTGGATGTATACTTAACACAGCAGCCAGCCAAAACTGTTCATTGGGGTAGATGAAAATCATTGAGGAATGAGGCCTGTGTTACGTTGAAAACAAGGGAGGTCTGTGTACTCAGCCTGCAGTTTGAGGCTCCCAGATGTCTGAGGACTGCCTTGTCCCTACTCTCCGAATCTCTCTTGTAAGATGCTGCATTTAAGAATACCAATGTTGAGCATAACAGAGTGCAGGTTTCAAAAGCTGTCTGGTTCTGCTGGTTTGCTGAGACCACCTGGGTGGTGGGCAGGGGAGACCTTGATATCCTAGGCTGTAAATTGAAGGTTCAGGCTGCCTGATTTAGAAGAACCCGTAACTTCTCACATTCCATGAAATACAAGAGAGGCCATGTGGAACATACTGGGTACCTTCCCTGTATCAGTGACTTTACAGGGGGCAACATTTATTATCTTGCCCTGTCTCTAGATGAGGAACCGTGTAAATGTAGACTGATTAAGTTTTAATCAACTTACCAAATCACACTTTTAGTCAGAGGGTCAGTCTGCTTCCCAAATGCACACATCCTTAGTGCACTGATACTGCATAGGAATTTTTAATTTATTTCATGTGTATGCTTGTATTGCCTTCACGTATGTAAGTGTACTGTGTCCTGAAATGCCCATGGAGGTCAGAAGAGGGCATCGGATCCCCTGGAACTGGAGTTATGGACAGTAGTTAGCTGCCATGTAGATGCTGGGAATCAAACCCCAGTCCTCTGCCAGAGCAGCCAGTGCTCCTAACTGCTGAGCCATCTCTTCGGCCCCAACCAGCCTACGTAGGAATTTTAAATCTTAGTTTATATTACAGGCTTCCAAGTCATTGACTCAAACTTGACATTATTAACAAAACTACCTGACTGGAAGAGCTCATCAGTTGAGCCTATGGTGGGACTATCCAACACAGCTTTGGACTGTTGGCTAAAAAATGGGTGTTGCTAAATAGTTACCTTATGTAAATGTGAGGGCACTTAATTAAAAGTTAAAGTGTTGCCACACCTTTGATACAGGGGACCACATGAATTATTTACTCAGGTCTCCTTTTCAAGGATTTCTATCAGAATATGGCTCTTTCAGGGTATTTTCAGTTTATTCTCGCCCTATGACTGAGAATTTTTGACATCCTGTTACCATATCTCAGTGAAGTGTGGGTCCAAGGGACAGTATATTTCATCACTCGATATAGTTTTAATTAAACTTTTATCTATTGTGTGTATGTGTCGGGGCTTACTGTGGAGATCAAAGGACAGTTTGCAGAGGATCAGTTCTCTCCTACCTATGGGTCCCTGGGATCAAACTCGATCATCAGGCTTGGCAGCAGGTGCCTTTACTGACTGACTGTCCTCTCTGGCCCCTCAGTAGTGTATTTTTACCAACCAGGTATTTCTCTCCACAGCTGGTAGGAAGTGCTAAACCACTGCAGCCTGCGTAAATTAAATGACATTTTCTTTCCATTCTTTGTTTTCATTGACATTTTATATAGTTAACTATAAATCATTTCTGAATCTGAAAGCCTCAGCTAGACAAGTCTTCCCTGTGGTTAGATTGTGACCATGTTGTGTTTAAAAAATAAGGTCAGACTACCTGGGTGAATGCTTAAAGCAGTGGTATTCCACTTGAGATAAACTTTCTAAATACTCTGGAAGGACCAGGATGGGCCAGATAATGCGGGAAGAGAGGTGACTGACACATAACCTCAGGGTTGATGAGGTCTTAAGAAGCAGAGTCATTGGGGAACCTGAAAACTCACACCACCTCCAAAGAGGGCAGCCCTAGAAAGAGCTGGAGAATCAGTTCAGTCTAGTTCAGAGCCTGTCTGAGCAGCGTAGCGACTCTGTCTCACAAAAACAAACCAAAGAGGGCAACCTTGACTCAACCTCACTCTGGATTGCTGGAAGTTGAGGATGTGGTCCTTCATGTTAAAAAAAAAAAGTCAGAAACTGGACTTTGATGTAAAGCCTCAACCCCCCTCTCCCCTCCCTCTTCTTTTCCCTCCTTCTCTCCCTCCCTCTCTCCTTTGGCCAAATTCAAACGTACGGATGAATATGCAAGCCAAACTAACCAAATCTGAAATTCCCACTGCTTAAGGACCAGCCTTTGATTTTTTTAAGGAAGTATTTACTGAGACTAGATGTTCTCATTTAATTCTTACTATACATTAACTTTAGAATTCTGACAGATCCCAACAGAGATTTTGTAGCTTGCTTTCTTTTTATCTTTATTTTGCCTCAAGAATATTCATTCTGGTCATCTGTTGGCCTTAACTGTTGCCCTGGTGATTAGATAATTGGCTTTGTATGTGTCACTTTTTTTCTACCTGAGAATCTTTAGGAGACCGGTTTGGGCTAAATGATTACACCAGGGATTTTTCCTGCCCTAGTATTGGGGAGTCTAGGAAGTGGTCACAGGAGCAAAAGTGCTAGAGACAAGACAGAAGAGCTGGATTCTCAGACGTCCTGGCTGTGATCCAGTCATGTACTTCCCTGAGCTGATTA